AAAAAAATATACTCAAAATTGAAAATTCCGTCACTCAACGGTTTCCCAAAAGCTTGAAAATTTTTATGATTTTGTTTACGAAAAGTAATATCGAAATTTTGAAAATCAAAGTCCGACACTGACTTTTACATTTTCAATTTTACTGTATCTCCTCGTAAACTTCACCATTACTTCTTGAGGTTTCCAGATTAAAAAAAATTCCGATATCTGAACGAGCGCACCGATTATCATGTGAAAAACTTGGGTACATTGCGTAACTTTTGACGAATGAAAAGTAAGATAAAAACGATGGGCTGTCTAAATTATTCAGCCAACCAGTTAATCAATAAACAAGACGCCGAACGCAAGTGTATATAAATTCATCACACGCGCGCGTATGGAAGCTTTCAAAAGGGGGGAAACCCATTCTTCAGCTTATTCATTTTTTTTTGTATTCAATGTTGAAGAAAAAGAAAAAGAAAAAAAAAAAACATGCGTAAAAAGCACCTCGTCAAAGGCAACCCACAGTCTCGCTCGTGCAAATTTGCTTCTCTATTATATGTACTTTCTTACCGCAACGGCAGCGCTAACTTACCATAGGTGCGTCTAGTCGCGGGCAAACAATCATCACACACACATATACGCTTGCGGTGTGCGTTTACGGATAAACGCGGAAGTGCCGAGCTACTGGACATACTTTGTAACTTGTTTTCTTCTTCCCCTTCTCGAACTCGCCATTGTTTTTTACGGCCAGTTGGGGCCGCTCGTAGTTTCAAATGCGACTCTTTTGTAAAATGATTTGTCGAGACGTGTAGAAAATTTAAAGCAAAAAGTACGCGAAATCGGTTACGAAAGCGCGAATTTTCCACGCCTCGTAAGAAAATCGGTTCTGCGATCGGTAAGAAACTACATCGTTTAGGATCACCAGATTTTTATAAGTATAATACACGTACAAGAGTACACTCCTAAACTACTTCCCAGCATGAGAAAAGCCAGCGGTTAAGACGTCCAATTTCGCTTTGCGAAAGCTCTGGAATCGTGATAAGCCATTATACCCCAACCGATATCGATCGAAAATCAAGCCCGTACTTTTGTACCCCCGAGGAGTTACAATCGAATTTTACGTTACGTGAACCGTTTGCCCGAAGGTTGGTACAGCACACACACAATTTTCAAAGCACCTTTTTAAAAATCTCAGTTTTCACGAGCCATCGGCCATTACGTACACACATGTTGCGTAAACCCCGTCTTATCTTACACGACTTTCCTCCGTCGAAAGATCCCCGAAACGCTGACGAAACACCCACGACATCAACTATGTATATTCATTTGATGACTTAGACGCGTGGTAATCCAGATCCGTGGCCGCGTTTATTTTGAAACGATATCGATTTCAAAGTCCACTTTGGTGTCGCGCTGTACCTGTTACGCGCGCGCGCGTATGTTATAATATGCTACGCCATATGGCCCAACTATACATATGAATGTCGAAGCAAGATCTCGATTACGAGGATTACGCGCGACACTGGCACCGTAATGTGGGTGATGTGGACTACTTTCGTTCGTTGCTTTCTTGTCCCATTAGCTTTGAAAGTAGAGAAAAAAATGCCTGGGCGATACCGATCGGAGCCACAGGAATTTCGATTTCAAAAGGGGGCCTTACAACCTGGTTGATACAAAATATGTGTATTAATTAATATATTATATGGATGACTTTTTTTCGAAACGCTTCGAGTTTGGCAAATATATACATATATTATGTACGTGAAGGAGAGGTTGTGCCTAACGATCGAAAAATCGATGACAGTCGTAAAACCTCGAGCTGCGCCGATTATGATTCATGCATCATTAGCAGCACGTATATGTACACTGCAAAGCACGGCATATATATATATATATGGCACTAAATTGTTTGACGTCCATATGCGCGGTTTTAGAAAGTTTGGTAAATAAAAATCCATCACGCGCCGGTATAATATAAAGTCGGCCGGGAAAATTATTTACTCCAACGTGTGTATATTAATGTACGGATCGGGCATCCGGCTCTTGCTGTATAAATATATACATGTGTAGAAAAAAACTAATCAATCAAGAGTATATTATATGATTTGTCAATTTCGTATATCGCCAACTCGGCGGCCCGTCAACAACCGCATCGAACGAAAGCCGTGTACAATATTACCTCGGGCTGATACCAAACCTTTCGGTTCGTAATAGTTTTGGAATTAATTCCCCTCTATAGTATACCAGTGTGGGATATAGTTTCTAACGCTCGAGCAAACGCGAAAAGAGAAAAGGTATATCGGCAAGTAAAAAACAAGGTAAAGAAAAGGCGACGACAATAACACGTATAGGTAGTTATATCCAGGCAGGCAAGGTCGCACACCGCGCCGAAACAATAAAATGTATCCGAGGATTATAAAAGCGCCGGTGCACAGGCCGAACGAACGCTCGAGAGAGTGTTTTACCGAAAATTCCGTGTGCTTTTCACTTTCGGGCGCCAAAGTGGAGAGGCAAACCTCCTCGAGGGGAATATTATTACTCGAGAGGAATCTCTCTCTCTCTCTCGAGCACGTGCGAGAGACTTGCTGTTTTTTTTTTTTTTTTTTTTTTTTAAGACAATTCAAGAGCTCTCGCACATATTCGGTATACCTACTTACTCTGTGCGCATAAACGCAGCGAATCGGATGGCGAAAGAAAGCGAGAGCCGATTTTTGGCGGGTACATATATATATATACATACGCATGATAAATTTCAACGGAGGCTCGTATGTGCACGACTCCTTTTTGGGTAAAGAATATATATATATATATATATAAGAATGTTTCACAAAGACTATATGTACAGCAAATATGTATATGCGGGACTTATTTAAATATATATATGTACTCTTTTGCAATGGGTTTGGGCAAAATGAATATGCGAGTGTGCTCTCGTTAAGTTGACAAACAACCGTAATGGCACTGTATACTTTTGCCCCCCTCCCCATTTTTTTTGCGAGTCTATAATATGTGTGGATTGCAGCTTGTGCGAGCGAAAAGAAAGTGAAGCTGGACTTGGAGCGAATTCAGAAATTCTTGCGCGGACGGCTGATGGATGTAAATATATGTATTACGTGTACTTGAGCGCCTTGTACATTTGAGGAATACAAAAAAGGCCTTTAATGCAAGGGATGGACGAGAATTTGGTCGATTTGAATTTCGATCCCAACTTAGTTGTGAGACGTTCGGTTGCGGAGGAATTTTAGGTGATGCTATACGGAAACTCGTTTCTTTTGTTTATTTAAATTAAGTTCGATCAACGAAAAGTTTCGTTGAAACATGCGGTGACATGCTCGTTTAAATTATACTATAAATGTACGTTGGAAAAACAAAAAACAAAACAAAAAAACACATTCGTTCGGACCGATAATTGCTCGTTTTGTTGTTTTTCTACTTAAATCAACACAATTATACGGGGGAGACAGAAATAAAGAGACACCTTGTATTATCCCGTCAAAGCCGTTCCTTCCTGTTTTCATTGGAGACCCGTACACACCGTATTGATTCTACTTTTTTACGACCACATACGAGTATGCATGTGTGCATACACGTATGATGTACCATACAATGCACCGGGAGTATAATCGAATTATAAAAAGATTTCCCAAGAAAACTTGGACCTTTTGATACGTATAGGTATGGGTGTGTGTATGCACAAGCGCGCGATCTCGACGAAAGTTGGAAAAACATTTGGGCCTGTACACGCGTAGGTGTGAAAAAAACAGGATTCACCGGAACGAATCTTTTTGAAGGTGTTTACTCGGAAAATAAAAATTACCGAGCTCCCGCACCCTTACACCCAACGCGGGCAGGATTCTTTTTTCTCTCCTCATTCACACTTATTTCTACCACGAATATGAAAAAAAAAAAAAAAAAATACATGTATATATACTGTGTCATGGAAATATTCGTGATTGCCGAAAATTTCAACGAACACCAAACAATTCGACGAGCCCTCGATTTTGAAATTACGAGCTTAAAACTAAGTAACTGCACTTTGTCAAATTCCCTTTGTGAAATCACGGTATCGAGATGAGACTAATAAAAAAATCCAAACAGATGTAAAGAAAGAAAAAAAAAAAAAAGCTCGAGTACAGCTTTGAAAACAAATTAGAGGCAATTAATCCCACCCCGCGACTGTTTTCTCGCTCTTTCATCTCGCGTGTCGGGCGCACATATTGTACACACAAGAGTGCGGGGAGACGTATACACACACCCCGAGTTTCGGGGAAAAGCGCGTGGGCGTCTCGTTGAAAAACATCATCATCAACGGTGCGTGCGGCATAATATATATGCGTCGTGCTTTAGGCCGGAGCTTGCGGCAAGCCTGCCTACCCCACATGGGCGGGGCTAATGATTTTACAAGCTCCGAAAATCACACCGCGATATCGGGTGTGTGTGTACGTGAAGTGAATTTTCAGTCAGTCTTGGCCGGGTAGTCTCTTTGAGACGCGCACTTTCTGCACTTTTGCGTTGATTTCTTTCTTTCTTTCCTTTTCTTGTGAATGTTATCAAATTGTGCCTAAGGTGCGCTTGGACGCGAAAAAGCTCGGTATGGAAAAAAAAAAAAAAAAAAATCATTTTTTTTGTTTTGTTTTCAAGTCCCATTAATTGTTCTTTCTCCTCCTCTGCAGCATATCGTTCATAACTTTCGCCCCCTCCTTCCACAATGTGTACATAGATATTGTACGTTTCAATGCACAATACTTACGTGTATAAACGGCAAACCCGATGCTCTCTCGTGCACTTTGTCGCACCGCGCACATTAGCATAAGAATTTCACCTTCCGAGAGCTTTTTGTGTACCTATAACATATCGGATTGTTTTTTCATTCGTTGGAGAATTTGGTGAAATTTGGAAATTTTCTCGAAGCGGGTATAGTTACGTGCACCTATACGTTACTTAACTTATTAGTAACCGATTCTTTTTTTCCCCTCTGGGCAGATTTTACTCGGGAAATCAAAAAACAACCACTCAATTAATAAGCATCGTTAGAGATCATCATGGAGCAAGTATTTCCGAACCTGTCCCTCCTGCCGAGCTCGTGTTACTACGACACTCCAGGTAAAATGCATCATCCCCATCAGCTGTCGTCGCAGCAGGTTTTTTGGCTGGCGCTTCAGCAACGCTGGTGGTAAGTCTTGATTAAGTCCATTAGTTCGAAAACTACACGTTCATATATACATATATACACATTATTGCAGGGATGAATTGACGAGTCGTCATCCCATGCACCATCAGCAAGGCCCGGATTCGCGTCCGATGATTCGCTGCGAAAAGCCACCCTACTCGTACATCGCTTTGATAACGATGGCCATAAACTCGACGGCCCAGCGTCGGCTCACGCTGTCGGGCATCTACCGCTACATAATGGATCGTTTCCCGTACTACCGGGACAACCGACAGGCCTGGCAGAACAGCATTCGCCATAACCTCAGTTTGAACGAGTGCTTCGTCAAGGTGCCCCGGGACAGGACCGACGAGGAGGCTATAGCTTCGCACGGCAAGGGTAGCTTTTGGACTCTCGCGCCCTCGGCAACGGGGATGTTCGAGAACGGCAACTACAGGCGCCGCAAGACCAGGAAACAACGTCAGATTAGACTCAGGCATAGCCACTGCAAGGTGCGCGTGTATACATTATATTATACATATACACACCCAAGCAGGTTCGAGATAGTAATAATAAACGTGGGTTTACAGAGAAATAGCGGCGTCTGTCTGCGGATGATCAACGGAACGGCCAACGATGCCGCCGCCGAGGCTGGTGATGGCTTGGATAGCCGAGCTGTAGGTACGAGTAATTCCGCTCTGTTCACCATCGACAACATACTGAGGAAGAAGGCGTCGTCGCCGGTGAGCTGAAAATCCCGGGGGTTGAATATACTTATGCATACATGTGGTGTGTTTTTGCATCCGCATCAGCGTTTGAAATCGGGACACCGTCAAAAGAGAGCAAAGGAGGCATCAGACCGGCAGTGTTGCTGCGATTGTTTGTTTTTCTTCGGTAGGCGATCTGTGGGAGGATTATATATACATATTTCCATCAGGCACACAGAGAGGGTCTTCTCGGAAAATCGATAAATCGTTCCCGCGGTCTGGTAGAAATCATCATCAGAGGCTTTGGTGTACTTATACTTACGTGTGCTAGTATGATTTTTTTAAATTTATTTATTTATCGTTTTTTTTTTTTTTTTTTTCAACAAAGATTTTATTTAGTTTATTACCATTAAACAGAAAGCCGTGGCGTCTGAAAATTTTTTTTTTTTTTTTTTTGGAGGGTTTTATACATACACAAGCGTGAGAATCGGAACGTGCGTTAATAAGGTACGTTTTGTGTGACAGAAATGTTTTAAGTGAAGAATTCAATGTATTTAAATAAAATTGTTGCGAGAAAAATTATTTTTAGAAAAAGTAACACACTGGAGTCATTATTATTTTACACTGTTTTCTAGATCGTTTTACTACAATCGAGAGAAACACATCAGCCTTAAACTAGATGACTTATGACCGTACGAGCGCGTTTGCATCTGTGAAATTCTGAATTCATGAATTTTTATGTAAATAAAATTTCTACTGACCTTGGCATTTTTGTATGGCGCTTCTTAATGATAACATATTATTAATTTGAATCCTGTAACGATCTTTGATTTTTCTGCTAATATTTGGGTTTATCTGAAGTCCACCATTGCTACTTTTTTTCTCCATTACACCGTCTCAAAGTTATATAATATATGGACTACCTTTGCATGAAAATTATTTTAAAGGGGATGACTCTACATGTGAAACTTCGATTGGCGTATTAAAATTCGTTGATTAAATTTTTTACTGAACTTCATCACATGATTTTTATCCATACCATTCATTAATAATATGTGTATTGTATCCGTTCAGGGTAGAGTAGAAATTGCATGCAGGGCTTAAAAATTTTCCAATAGGGCTTCGAAAAGTACACGACTCTACATTGAAATGTAACTTCTATTATCAATTTAATACGAGAGCAGTTTTTTATTTCACTGTTTCGTTAATTAAGGATTTCTATCCTTATAGTTGCAATATTTCAATAAATATTGTCAATAGTGGATCCACCTGCCGTAAACACGTATGTATCAACTTATGTACATTATATTTATCGGTATTTATGAAAATAATGTTGTTAGTTGTCACTAGTCATATAAGTACAAGTACTTAATAAGTGGGTAAAAGAAATAAAAAATGAAGGAAGTGGAAAGAAGGCTATCGAAAAAACAGAGAAAAAAATATTCAAGTATAAAATGATAGGATTTTATTGATATCACGTTTATATTGAATTTATAAATATATTACAATTTGTGCGCTTATTACTAATGAGCTCTGTTTGGAATCTGCGGAATATTATGCTGTTGGATTGCGCTTCATCAGCTCCAAATCAGCTGTCATCATGTCAAATACAAGTTCCTGAAATTAAATATTAACTTAGAAAAAAAGCCGTACAAACATATTAACTATATGAATCACTTGAAATTTAACTAGTTCGTACTTTGAACGTTACAGTTGGTTTCCAACCAAGTTTTTCTTTTGCTTTTGTTGCATCTCCCAATAGGATATCCTAAAAATACGAAAAAAATTTACCCTTACCCAAATACTAACAAAAGATTGCAGCATTCGACTTGCAAGCAACTTACAACTTCTGTTGGACGGAAATATTTCTCATTAACTTTGACGAGTACTCGGCCGCTATCTGCATCCTTCCCAACTTCGTTCAAGTCCTTGCCTTCCCACTTAATTTTTGTACCCACAAACAGAAAGGCAGCTTCAACAAACTCTCTGACACTGTGCGTTTCACCCGTCGCGATAACGTAATCGTCAGGTTTTTCTTGTTGGAGCATCAACCACATTGCCTGTGATTTGATAATTTCTGGTGAATAATTTATCATCATATGCAAATACGAATAAAGTTTTGGAAATTAAAACCTATTTACTTCTACGTAATCCTTTGCATGACCCCAATCTCTTTTAGCATCCAAGTTCCCGAGTTCTAACACATCCTGCAATCCTAAATGTATTTTAGCAATGGTTCTAGTGATTTTTCGCGTTACGAAATTTTCACCGCGTCGAGGACTCTCGTGATTAAAAAGAATACCATTGCAGGAGTACATGCCATATGCTTCCCTATAATTGACAGTTATCCAAAAACTGTACATTTTGGCACATGCTAGAAAAAAAAGACAATTAAAAAAAAAAAGAAAAAAAAAAAAAAGTTGGTGATGTACTAATGTGCAATACATTACCATAAGGAGAACGTGGATAGAAGGGAGTCTTTTCAGTCTGAGGTATCTCTAAAACTTTACCATAAAGTTCAGATGTAGAGGCTTGATAAAATTTTACTTTTTTTTCGAGGTCACACGTTCGTATGGCATCCAATAATCTTACTGTGCCAACAGCATCAACTTCAGCTGTGTACTCACTCAATTGAAAACTCACCTAAAATACGAGTAAAAAAAAAGCACGAATTCATCAGGCACTTCATTATTAATATATAAGCAAATTAGTTTACCTTGACGTGGCTCTGAGCAGCTAGATTGTATATTTCTGTTGGTTCAACTAATTTTATAACTTTAACTAAACTGCTTGAATCTGTCATGTCCCCATAATGCAACTGCATTTTTCCCTGTTTATGACAGTTGGGATCCTTATAAAGGTGCTGAATCCTTGTCGTATTGAAGGAACTTGACCTTCTGATAATACCGTGGACCTCGTAGCCTTTTTGAATGAGGAGTTCAGCCAAATATGAACCATCCTGAAGAAAAATATAGAAAATTAATATGCAATTCTTGACTTACAATGTAAAATATGCATTCATAATCACTATTTCATTATGTCAAGTACAACAATTTTTCCAATCGTACATTCGTAAAAAAAACCATTTACTTATTTGTTATTAATTTGACAGTGTAAAAATCAAGTCAAAAGACAGAGATATTAGAATAAATCAATCAACAACAATAAGATTACTTACCTGGCCGGTAATACCCGTTATGAGAGCGATATTTCTTTGTTTTTCCATTGCCACGTTTTAATTCGATTGTAATAATTATTTTAAATATTGCATGCACGCAAACAAAAGAGAACAGGGCGGGGAACACAACACAATGTAGAAAAAACCACTGAACGTCAAGAAAAAAACATGCTTGTAAGAGATGTATTTACAAAAATCAAATGTGTGTAACTGTACACGTGGAATGATGGGAGTTATTGATGTGGCGACTGAACGACATTACTGTTATCTTATCGGCATGAGCACAATTTGATAGTTAAACAAACGTCTAGTTAAAGTTCTACCTATCATAGTCGCACAGCACACCCCCACATACAGTACGTGTAATCTATATATACGACTGAAGCGTCAATTTTGTTCCGAAATCAATTTGACAGGTTTATCAAGTTATACCTTACACCGCTCGTAAGTAATAGTGGAACACAATTGACATAAATGCATCTCATGAGATAAGATTGTTTAAATAGTTTCAAGTTGCAAGTTGCAAGTAAATATTACATAAATAATAACAACTACTTATCTGGTTGGTAAGTACGAACTTACTTTAAGATGCATACAGACACATCTTATTTTAACACATACTCTGTTAAGAATAGAAACTTCAAAAAAATTTTACTTAACCTGGACAACCATACATATTTTTTGGAATTTCGCTCTTGTTGGTTTTGTTTTTTTTTTCAAGTTAAAATTAAACTTTAAAAAAGACATAACTATTAGGGCAGTAAAATGGTAAATTTTTTTTTCAATTTGACATTTGAAAAAGTGTTTTTATTTTAAGGTTGTGTAGAAAAAAGCGCCAAAGTGGAAATTGTTTTGAAATTGGAATAAATGATTCTAAGAAGATTATTTATTTTGACAAATAGACAGTGTTTGCATAGAAGAATTCATAATCATGCGACTATTTGTGAAACGAACAATGCAAAGAATGTTGGCAAACAGATCAAAATTCAGGTTAGCAATCGTCGAGATGTTCTTTTATTTTCCATTAAACAATTAAAAAAGTACTTGTTTATTGGAATTAATTTCACATTGATCCAACATGTTACATGTTTGATTAAATAAAATAAAATTTCTTAGGGATGGGTGAAGGCCGTAAGAAAAATGAAAGAAAACATTTTCCTGGACGTTGTTGATGGCACGACCTGTCAACCCCTTCAGGTTGTTCTTAAAAAAAATCAAAAGCCCGAAAACCTGGGCTATGGCTGCAGCATCGCCGCAGACGGTGAAATTTCTCAAGCTCCAAACGGAAGAGCGGAGCTACAGGTAGAAAGCCTCACTGTTATTGGTGGTTGCGAACTCGAAGGCTACCCTTTCTTGCCAAGAAAACAATATTCTACAGATTACATTCGCAAGTACTTGCACATGAGGCCCAGGACAAGAAAATTTTCCAGCATACTAAGACTCAGAGATGCCACAGATAGTATAATTAGAGATCACTTTAGAAATCGCGGCTTTGTACACATACACACTCCAATCTTAACATCCAATGACTGTGAGGGAGCTGGAGAAAATTTTTATGTACAGCCTTATTCCACGGAGCTTTTGCAGGAAATGAAAAAAGATAGAATAGATGATGAAAGAGAAATATACTTTGATACAAAAGCATTTTTGACAGTGTCCGGACAGTTACAGCTTGAGGCTTGTGCTAGGTCGTTATCCAGGGTGTACAACTTTAGTCCAGCGTTTAGAGCAGAGAACGCAAAATCTAGATTACACCTTTCAGAGTTTTACATGATCGAAGCGGAAATTGCATTCATGTCCTCTTTGGAAGAACTTGCAGCTGAAGTAGAACTTCTAGTCAAATCTGTGACCGCGAATCTCTTAGAGAAAGGATCTTCAGATCTTAAAACAATTCAAGCACCGGAGCCAACTTGGTTGGGAAAAAATTTTGGCTTCATAACTTATCAGGAAGCAGTAAATATTTTAGAAAAAAATGCCGACAAGTTGAGTATTCCAATAAAAAATGAAGGTCTGGCCAAAGAACACGAACTATTTTTAGTTCAGCATTTCGGCGATGTTCCAGTCTTTGTTGTAGAATGGCCAACCAATAGTAAACCATTTTACATGAAACAATGTGAAGACGACTACACAAAGGTATTATATTTTACATTTAGAATTTTTTTTATTGTTGTTAAATAAATGTACATACGAATAGTTCAAGTGTATTTATTTTCAATAAACAGGTAAAAGCTCTAGATCTTGTAGCACCAACAGTTGGAGAATTGGTAGGTGGTAGCGTGAGGGAAGATAATTACGAAAAATTAAAACTAAAATTGCCAGCCAATTCGGGTTTAGACTGGTATCTTGATCTGAGAAAATACGGAAACGTCCCAACTGCAGGCTTTGGATTAGGATTCGAAAGATTTCTGCAAATGGTTACAGGAGTATCCAACATCAAAGATGTCATACCTTTTCCTAGATGGCCACACAATTGCAGTTTGTAAATAAAAAATTGTACATAATGTATTTGACTTCGTTAAAATAAAGAAACATTGTATTAGAAAAAGTTTTTCCAACTTTTTGGGATAGGATCGGAATGGGTAAATAAAAGAAACAATTATTTTTTAGTTTCATTCATACCTTTATTGGGTGCCATTAGACGATTCTCCAAACATGTTAATTAGCTGTGAATAATTTCTACCGCTAGAGTTTGAGTGAGAAAAAAGAAAGCAAAAAAAAAACAAAAAGGAAAGAAATTTTAAATATTAATTTTTTATTTAAACTTAGAAAAGAAAAGATAATTATGAATATACTCTGCTTAAGTATATTTTGAACTGCGACGTAAAAGTAAATATTAGTTGAATAGTTATTTTTTACCTTGAAATAATGAAAAATGAATTGGGGTTCAGGAGTCAACAAAAAAAATTCTTTTTCATTATGTAAAAAAATAAAGTTCGTGATAATTCTTGTTATACAATAATAACATGAAATCGCAGTTACAAACGTTAAGTAATATGTACAAAAAACATCACAGTACTTGGAAACTATGTACAAGTATAGTTTTAATCTAACATTCATTATCGCATTTTTAAATTCGTTATTTATAACTCCACAAAATCAAAAAGAATTTCGTGCATACATGTAGAAACTCTGAAATGTAAAAAATGCACTTCGTCCTCTCATTATTTATGTCAACACACGTGCAACCGGCATCAACGTACAACCACTATTTACAATATTTAGCACTTCTATCTATTTACATAATCGAACATAACGCTGAAAGTTCTTCTCCCTTAAAAACTGGAGGTAAAACAGATAAGTTTCTATCAATGAGAGAAGGTTTTATAGAAGCCGGCTTCAGAGGTTCCTCCTTTTCCAGTTTTTCTTCTTCTACGTTCTCTTTTTCTTCTTTAGTTTCTTTGGGTTCCTTTGGAGAATTAAGGGGCTTTATTATATTTATTTTTATTAGCGACTGGGCAGCTGGGATTATAGGTGCAGAGGAGTCCAATTCTATGTTTCCATCAATTGTACTTTTGACTTCAACCTGGGTCGAATCGACTTCAACATGCTCAGACACACTATCTTCGAATTCTGAAAAAAAAGTTTGAGTTTTAATTTTTATATCTTTTTCTTTTTTTTTTTTTTTTTTTTAATATATCTATTTTTTTAGACTGTTCTACCTAATTCAACATCCATTGGCTCTTCTTGAGTTAGATTATCATCATCTTTAATTTCTGTATCTACTTCCATATTTTGAGAAGCATCTTCATTAATTTCTTTTTCTTCTAGAATTGATTCTTGAGGCGCATTTAAATCAGGCATTTCTGTCTTTTCTTCCAGAGTTGATTCTTCAGTCACTTCATCAGGTGGAATATTTTCTGCTAAAATTTTAATATTTGAAAATTCTTCGTTAAACACAGGTAAAACCTAGTAAAAGTTAATTTACATACCATCTTCACGTTCAATAATATCCAATATTTCTTTTATTGCACCATCTGCTGCCTCCTTAACCTCCTCGGTTACCGCATCTTCATCTACTTTGATTATTTCTTCTGTTATAGGTTCTTCAGTTTTTAATTCAATATCTTCAGTGCTATCTTTCTTTTCTTCATTCTCGACCTTTACACTGTCTTTATCCTCGTTGATTTCACCTGATTCGTTGAGCGTAGCAGGCTCTTCCTGAGCTCGCTGTTAATAAAGCAATTTATCAAACCATTATTGTAATATTTGAAAAAATACCGTACTGCCATAATTCAAAAGTAAGATTTGTTTTACAAGCTTAATGTGTAATTTACGAAATTTAATAACATTCGAGCAAATTTTGCTTAAAAAATAATAAACGACTTGTAATATAAACGTACCCCAAAGAGTTTTTCCTTTTATTAAAAACGAAGCAAATGGGAAAGAGAGAAAGAGTTAATAGAATGTTACATTAAAAATTACGATTGTGAATTAACGTACTTTATGATCTTCAAGGCAGAGTGGATGGAAATTTTTGCCTTCAAAACAAACAGCTGGTCTGAGGTGCCACTCTTCCTTCTCATCGTTGTAGAACTGCACAAACGCTTCGTGACACACCTGACAGCAAGTATCGTCTTCTGAACCTGTTGGAACACTCGGCTGCAATGTTTCGTCAAAGAGTTCCTCAGTTCCCGTGTTCTCAGTTTCCATGTTTTGTCTCTCAGTTTCAAACCAACTTTGTGCTGTAAAACAAACATTTTTCAAGATTTTTTTCGACTAGAGATTTTGTTAGAGTCAAATCTTGATTTTCTAAAAAACATTATGTACCTCTATCTTCAAGGTCTTCAATTTCCTCAAACTGAATCCAATCGCTGACATCGTAATACCAAAGCCTTGAATGCGCTTTCCTGGAAGAGTCTCTTTCTTTACGGTTTTGTCTGAAATGCCAGTCTAAATGATGACTGTAACGAGTAGCCATTTCTGGAGCAAATCTAGCTCCACAAGAACTACATTGGATTCCGCTATACAGAGACGTAACCATGGCGGGTTGTTTTCTACGAAAAAAAGTGAATTTATCGTAAGTACAAATTTTTAACAAGCAATCTAATTATTCTATAAAAAATCAAATTACTTACATTTTCAATGTTTCTGGTTTGTCAAACGAAACTGGCACAATTTCTGGCTCCTTCTTATCCTCCACCTCAGATTTTTTGGTTTCAAACAAATTCGAAACTATACCAGTCTCAACTAATCGTTGATACAATTCGCTAAGATTCAATGGTAGTGTAATAGCCGGGGCCAGAGCTGGTTGATTCTCTACAGGTTCAGCCTGATATGATAAACCGGAGGATGGAGCCATTGCCGAAGGTACGACTGAAGACAACATTTGAAGATCTGTTTTTGTGGTATAAGACTGGTCCAGACCATCTTGAGACGTAGAATCAGGTTCGATTGACAAAGGCACAGCCACCATTGTGCTCGATGAAACCTCCTGTTGAGCTTTCTTCGTGACTTCTTCAGGTAACTCTTTAGGCTGTTCGCCTTTCATGTTTGCGATCTTCACATAGCCGGCACGGAAGCCACGGGGCAGCACTGAGAATCGAATAAAGTGCTTCTTTTCGTGGACGAGAATAGGTTTGGGCAAACCTCCGAATTCCACGTTGAATGGCCGTCCATTAATCAAAACTGTTTGCAGGGCGTCAATAAATTCCAATGTGCATGGCTTGTTATCGATATGAAATCTGAAATTTACCCCATTTTTCATATTAATTGAAATTTTCAAAATCATTTAAACGTACTCATTATATGAAACAATGCTTACATTTGCGGTTTGGCATCGAGGAAAACAGGAACCATGCATCGAGCATTAATAATGAGGTTGATTTTACCAAGTACAAGATCAGTGCGTTTGACCGTGCCAATTTTAACTTGGGGGGATGGTCCGTCTAGTTTTACACTGACACTCTTTTTATCCAATTCAATGGTGATTGGTTGACCACCAAAATAACACTGATACCATTTGCCATCGACGTATAATTCTCGAGTAGGCGCACCGAGTTTTACTCTGCAATAATAAAAAAAAAAAAAAAAAAATTAGTCACATAAAACAATCTAAGAAACAACAGTGACATTTCTTTCTAAAACCTTTCACTCACTTATGAACTTTCCCTTCGTATGTAAACTCTCGGTAATCGTCGTTGAACGAACAGACGACCGTCTCTTTGCCATCGATCGATATTCTTCTAGCTCCGTTTTGGAAGCCGATATCTCTCGGATCGTCCCAGTGCATAAAGATAACACCCGTGTCTCCGTAATACCTGATTTCCCTTAGTACATTATCGATATTAATCGATCTCATCGTGTCGTTGGTGATTTCCTCGATCAGGGCTGGATCAGCGGGTGGCAATTCATCCCTGTTACTACTGGAGCTGACCTCTTCAGCAGTGTCTTTCGTCTTAGTACTCTCTATCGACTGATTGGACCAATTGCCGTCGTTTTCGGCATTTGACGTTGGCCTCTTAGGCACTATGGGGCTACTGGTGTTCATCATCAGACTTGGTGCCAAAGAAGACATGGACCCGCCTATCGAATTCATTGGGCCAGAAGCCATTGGATTTAATATAATTGGTCCATTTGGACCCATAGGTGGTGGGCCCATTCGCGGACTAAAGCCTCCATGGAAATTGTGAAAGTCCGGACGAATCGGAGACCCAAATAGTCGCGGATGATTTTGCCAAGGCCCAATCGGCCGAAATTCTGGTCGGAAGTGACCCTGGAAGGGTGGATGGGCCCACGGTTGATGCCAAGGCTGTCCCCATCGTGGACCTGATTGAATTAGATAAATGAACAACATAAGTCACGTTTATTACCAATAGAAGCGCGCTTTTATTTCATTATTTATTTCATTTAAAATATAATACTCACCCGGTGCTCTAGGATGCATGCCGTGGTCTTTAGACCTCATACCCTTGTCCCCTCGATCCCACATTTTACTCTCACGGTCTTTTCGCTGAGCTGCTCTAAGCTTCTGATCTTCGCTCATGTGCAACACCTCCTGAATCAGCTTGTTATATTGGGATTTCGTAATCGTGCCCTGATTCAATTCTTCGGCAGCCTCCTTCATGATAATCTCGATGTTGCGATCGGAGTTGCGCTCGTAGTCGCGGGGCCCTCGTCTGCGATCTTTAGTCATTTCTTCGTTTTTGTTGTAAATTTTGCTGATCCGAGGAATGCGTCCACAACGTTCGGGACGTTCGACCAGCGTTGAACTCATGTTACTTCGCGGGTCTGAACGCATCGACGACGACGACAGCGATGAATCGTTTTTGATGGGCGTTTTGATTTTCGCCCAGCTGCTGTCTTTGTCTTTGTCCTTTTCACCAGATATCACGGGTGGTGGAGGTGTGGGTGGATGGGCCGATACTTTTTGTGGAGTCGGTGCCAAAATTCGAAGATCCACATCTTCTTTGCCAAAGAGTCTAAATTTAAAAAAAATCAAAATTTTACTTATAGCAATTTTTCTTAAAAATTGTTAAAATATGCGAAGAATATTTTATTTAAGAAAAAAATGTAATTGGGATCGTCGTGAGGTTTATATCTTTTCTTGAAAATACATGGTGACTTACTCATCCAAGAGTTCATCTTTGCTTTTCTTTGAACTTGAACTTTCGTGTCCATCGGCCGTCTTTCTTTTGTTTGGTATAGGAGGAAGCACGCGGAGATCTAAATCTTCTTCTAAAAAGACAATTATAATTTTTTATTAAAATGAGAATCGAGGAGGGTTTGCCTCTTCAAGAATGTTTCAGATGATTATTGCAGTACAAGTACATTTACTTACAGAAATGTTCTGCATACTCCAATAAATAGATAGTAAAACTCATAAAATTATTTTAACACCCAGAAAAAAAATTATACATTAATATAAATAAATTAGGAGTATAGACATACACATAATTGATTTCTCTATAAATTTAGCTTGAATTTTTTTTAAAGACAAAATTTTATGTCTTTGATGGATAGTTCGGTGATGAAATTAAATTCTTCTTGAGATTGTTCTTGATTATAAGTTCAAGATACAATTTATAGTCGAGGGGTAAAAATTGTATATATACGACTGAAG